TTCAGAAAGGCGGGGCATAGAGGAGAAACAATAATGTACAGCATGTGGAAAATAATGTTCTTTTTAGCAGCATCATATGACCCCTTTAAGTTTTAGTAAATTTTGTTATGCACTTTTTTGTTATTTTTGTTGGTTTGTTTTTGTGTATTTCTGTATAGTTTATAGTATCATTTATTTCAGTTGTAGTTTTTTTTTGTTTTTTTCTTCAACCTATTATTTTACTAATTTTAATACTTCACAAAAAACTGTCCAAGAGTGCACATCAATTAGGCCAAAAAAGCTCAATGTGGGTGCTCTACCACACAAAAATAAGAACGAAAACATCAAAGCTTTCAGTAATTTTAGTACTTCAGCTAGTTTCTAAGGTAACATTCTAATTTTTGTAATTTTTAAAATACATATTTTTTTCATCTAATATTTTTTTTCAATTACCAAAACTGTTTTAATAGTTCTAGTTTAAGTTCACAATGCCAGGTTTGTGTAAACTCTTATCTCGTGTTTACAGCGGCAAAATATAACAACACTCAATCGCTACCTTTCATTATTAACGCTTCACACCGAGCTCTTGCTGCATATACCGGCTTGTTGATTATAATGATCTAATGTTGCGTTGTTCCACTCGCTCTCAATGCAGTACATGTTGAAGCCTGTGGGCACGAACTCAAGAGTAACTGCACAGAAACCCAGCGGCGTAATCATTAATTCTGCTGACAAACACACACACACACACACACACACACACCTTAAGCTTTTTAATGAACAATCACCAGGCCAATCATAAAGCAGCAGTTCCTGAAGAGAAACAGAGAGAATCCTCTCGCTGTTTACTCATATAAGCGTCTTGACACAAATCCCTTTATCTTCCATCTGACTAGCCATCACACAATTAATGCTTTCTCACAGAGAGCCACTTCTTTCATCACAATGCACTTCAGTGTTTGTTCTGCACGTGTGACTCAAGACAAATGAGGTGAGATGGTGTCATTTTACACCAAACTGAAATTAACTGGAGTCTTTCTAATAGGTGATTAAATATTAAGATGAAGTCCTGCGGGAATGCGGCGAGCAGCTGAGAGCTCGGCGTCCTTCAGAGCCTGTCTGTCAACATATGTTCATTATTCTACTGCTACTGACTAGGTTTTTCTTCTAAAATTCTTTCTTCTTCCGTTTCTTCTAAAATACAAATAGACAAAGATGAGTCAATAGCTGTCATAAAATAAGGGAGATGAATTTTAATTTGAAACCACATAATATTTGTATTTATTTTATTTGATTAATTCTTTCATTTTATTGTTCCGAAATAAATACTTAAAGGGGTCATATGATGCTGCTAAAAAGAACATTATTTTGTGTATTTGGTGTAATGAAATGTGTTTATGCGGTTTAAAGTTAAAAAAAACACATTATTTTCCACATACTGTACATTATTGTGAGTTCTCAGTCATGTTTAAATTAAATATCAGCTTTGACTCAGATGAAACATCACGTTCTTAAGGAGAAATAAAAATAGACATGAGTCAATAGTTGTCATAAAGTAAGAGTGTAGAGCTGAATGTGGTAGAAATGTTCTTGTTGTAAACTTTGGTGTCTTGGCTAATCTGAACACATTTTGAGATGTTTTCCTTTTTCATCAAGAATTTTAGCAGAAGTCTCCTCCTGCTCTCCGCTTAACTTCATTGTCGTCATTATTTAAATATCAGATGTTTCTTCTGAAGTTTTTGAGGAGAAATAAAAATGGACACAAATGAGTCAATAGTTGTTAAAAAATAGGTGTATACAGATTGAAATCACAATTTTTTTATTGCTTCGATATAAAGTCTAAGCTGAGTTCTCAGTCGGGTTTTATTTAAAAAGAAACTTTTTTTCTCAGATGTTTCTTCAAAATTTTTAGGAGAAATAAAAATAGACAGAAATGTGTCAATATTGAAATAGATTAAGAGTATAGAGGTGTACATTGAGATCTTTGATTTTTAATCAGACTTTGGTGGCAAATCTGAGCACATTTTGGGGCATTATTAAGATCTTTGGTAACACTTTACTTGAAGGGGTGTGCATAAGACTGACATGACACCTTCATAATCATGACATGACACATGTCATGAATATGAAGGAGGTTTTATGCATGTTTATGACAACTGTCATTAAGTGTCATTCGCTCAGTTATGTCATTTTTAATGCAAATATGACATTATTTGACGTCGTTTCAGATGTTTCTTCTAAAATTCTTTAGGAGAAATGAACATAGACACAAATGATTCAGTTGTCATAAAGTAAGTGTATAGACCTAAATGTGCTAGAGATATCTGGGTTCATATTGAGATCTACCTTGTATCTATATCTATTCTAGTATCTTGGCAAATCTGAGCACAAACATTATTGAGATATTTTTTTAAACTTTTGGAGGAAATACGCACGGGATTACTTTTTGTCTGAAGAAACAGCTTAGAAAGTGGAGATTTCATCAAGGCTTCAACTGCTCTCGATTTAACTTCATTCAGATGTTAAAGATTTCTCATGTGACATTGTTTTCCCTCTCCAGCACTGGCTGACAGAGTTGGAGATTTTTGCAATGCTTTTCGCTGCTGCCGTCCACGACTACGAACACACCGGGACCACAAACAACTTCCACATCCAGACCAGGTAACGCATGAGCACCGCTGGCTGAGTCATCCATCAGACTCCTGCACCTCAACCGGCTGAATCAAACTACTATCAAACATGACCTGGGACAAATGAGAAGAATGGGGAGATGGGAATAAAATAATGGTCTGTGGGTTAGTTTGTATACACTACTGTTCAGTTTGGGCTCAGTAAGGATTTTTTTTTAAGGAAGTCTCTTATGCTTCCCAAGGCTGCATTTATTTGATCAAAAGTGCAGCAATATTGTGAAATATTATTACAATTTAAAATAACCGTTTTCTATTTGAACATGTTTTAAATTGTAATTTATTCCTGTGATCAAAGCTGAATTTTCAGCATCATTACTCCAGTCTTCAGTGTCACATGATCCTTCAGAAAACATTCTAATATGCTGATTTGCAGCCAAGAAACATTTCTTATTATTATCAGTGTTGAAAACAGTTGTTGCTTTTTAATATTTTTTTGTGGAAAGCATGATACATATTTTTCATTCTTTGATGAATAGAAAGTACAAGAGCACCATTTATTTGAAACAGAAATCTTTTGTAACATATAAATGTCTTTTCTGCCAATTTTGATCAATTTAATGTCCTTGCTGTATAAAAATATTAATTTCTTAAAAAAAAAAAAATCTTACTGACCCGACTTTTGAATGATAGTACTTTTCCTTTATAATCAAAAGTATTTGATTACACAGTATGAGAGAAACTAAATAATATCATTGAGACTTAAGGTCCTTGCACACTGAGTCCGAAATTTTCGTATGCATTTTTCCGTTTTTTTCGTATTCGTCATCCTTTCCTATCAAAATGCTTGCTACGGATGCGAAAACGCAGAAAATCGAACCTGGTCCGAATTTTTTTATGACGGACGAAAGTTTCGAAGGCAGTGTGTAAACGTGATTGACACAACATGAGGTCGTATTTATTTTTCAACGTGCAAAAATTTCGGGCGAAAAATTCGGACTCAGTGTGCAGAGACCTTTACACTTCTTTGACTTGGTCCAGTATGCAAACACCTAGCAACACACTTAAAACCACTTGCAATGTCTTGTGCAACTCACGTGTTCTCCAGTTTAATATGAGCTTAAAACAGCATACAATAATTACAGTAGAATAAAGCTAAAAGAGTCACACTGCAGGACACTGTATGTCATCTGTAAATGTAAAATATAAATCAGATTCAGTTCTGTTAGACCTGAGTTTACATTGATTCCTGCAGGTCGGACACGGCCATCCTGTACAACGACCGCTCTGTGCTGGAGAGTCATCACGTCAGCGCAGCGTATCGACTGCTGCAGGACGACGACGAGATGAACATCCTGTACAACCTCTCCAAAGATGACTGGAGGTACAGCAGGATTTCACATCCAGCATCTAATCATTTCCATCATTGTCTCACTTCTTTTGTTTCCAGAGAACAGAAAAAATGCTAACTGACAATACATTTTCTCCAATTACAATATTGTGAAATGTCTTCGTAACTGGGTACTTTTATATACCAGTGGTACATTTTTATTTATTTTTTTGTTAAATGAGCATCACTTTATAATGGTCTTGGAAGCTATTTCTTTATTTATTTATGCATTTTTGCATACATATGTGTGATAGATAGATAGATAGATAGATAGATAGATAGGTGTTTAAGATGTAAAAGACTACCATTTCAGTTTAGAAAAATTACTAATATGTGACCCTGGACCACAAAACCAGTCATAAGGGTAAATTTTTTGAATTTGAGCTTTCAATTGATGTATGGTTTGTTAGGATAGGACAATATTTGGCCGAGATACAACTATTTGAAAATCTGGAATCTGAGGGTGCAAAAAAATCTCAATATTGAGAAAATCGCCTTTAAAGCTGTCCAAATGAAGTTCTTAGCAATGCATATTGCTTATCAAAAATTAAGTTTTGAAGTATTTACAGTACGAAATTTACAAAATATCTTCATGGAACATGACCTTTACTTAATTAGGCATTTTACTAAACTTTTTTACTAAACTAGACTTGAAACTTGGAGGAATGGTAGTACTCATACCGCCTACAACGTGACCGAGGCTCACCCCAATCGGCCTGACGGGGGCGCTACAGCAATCAAAGTACGAAATTGCTCACCAAACGCACGCCTCAGATTCGATCGTGAGCCTGGCGAAATTTTCGGGTATTTCGCATTTTTTTTCAAAACCTACTTTTGCGAACTAGTCCTAGGTTTTTCGCCCGATCGTAACCAAACCAGTGCAGAAAGATTCTCTGGAGAGTGATTATCAATAATTATCAAAAAAAAGTTGAACTTTCGACTCTCCGTCGCAAAGGGACGCCAAAACGTTCGGAGATTTATACGTTATCTGAAAGTGGAATAAGTAAGCTTTCAATTGATGTATTGTTTGTTAGGACAATAGGACAATATTTGGCCGAGATACAACTATTTGAATATCTGGAATCTGAGGGTACAAAAAAATCTAAATGTTGAGAAAATCACCTTTAAAGCTGTCCAAATGAAATCCTTAGCCATGCATATTACTAATCAAAAATTAAGTTTTGATATATTTACGGTAGGAAATTACTTAATATCGTAA